TTTCTGAATTTCTGAATTTTTGAATTTCTGAATTTCTGAATCTCTGAATTTCTGAATTTCTGAATTGCTGAATTTGTGAATTTCTGAATTTCTGAATTTCTGAATTTTTGAATTTCTGAATTTCTGAATTTCTGAATTTTTGAATTTCTGAATTTCTGAATTTCTGAATTTCTGAATTTCTGAATTTCTGAATTTCTGAATTTCTGAATTTCTGAATTTCTGAATTTCTGAATTTCTGAATTCCACATAAAATTAAATAAGTCTTAAAATTCCGAAATAATTCTGGAATTTCAACAACTTCAAAATTCTGAAAAATCATAAAAATCAAAATTTTTTAAAAATTCATAAAATTCCGAAAAAAATAATAAAATTTCCAAAATTTTCAAAAATCCTTAAAACCTCAAAATTCCTGTAACTCCGAAAAATCTCAAACACTTAAAAATTCTAAAATTCTAAAAATTCTAAAGTTTCCAAAAATCCCAAAAATCGCCAAAATTCCAAAATTTTCAAAAAAAGATCTCATCAAAAAAGTGATAAACTTAAAATTGTGAGTTTTTTAACACCAAAACAATTTGCAAATTTCGAAACTTTTCGAATTTCTAAAAAAACTATTAATCGATCAATTAAAGTTTAAAAAACGGAAAATTAGATTGATTTCGAAATTTTCTTGGTGTGTCCGTGTGTATGATATTTAGCTACACACACACACAACACATTGCCATCAGAAGAAGAAGAAGAAGAAGAACAATTCCGCGTCCCGCCGTCCACCTCGTGCGTTCTATGTTTCTCTTTTTTTTCTCTAACTCGCACTCTCTCTCTCTTTCTCTTCCCCTCCCTAGGAGCCTTCGTCTCTTTAAAGGCGCATATCTCGAAAACTAGGAAAGCTATCATAATTTTGTAAATTAGGAAAATGTGTAAAATTGAATTTCGCACATTTTCATAGTTTACAATTTTTAAGTAGCATTTACAGGAGCTGAGATAAATAAACTTAAAGTTTAGGGTTCCTCTCTCTCTCCATCCTTCTCCCACTTTCTCTAACCTTCTCTGCGTCTCTTCTCCTCCACACTCTCTGCTTTGTACTCCAAAACATTGTCTTCTCGATGACCATGCAAAAAGTGTGGACTTTGATCATTTGGGGTTGTTGATCTTTGATTTTTTTTTCTAGGAAAAAATCTTTTGAATACAAAATTTGAGATTTTGAATTTTTGAAACTCAAAAAATTTGAAATTCAGAAATTCAGAAATTCAGAAATTCAGAAATTCAGAAATTCAGAAATTCAGAAATTCAGAAATTCAGAAATTCAGAAATTCAGAAATTCAGAAATTCAGAAATTCAGAAATTCAGAAATTCAGAAATTCAGAAATTCAGAAATTCAGAAATCCAGAAATTCAGAAATTCAGAAATTCAGAAATTCAGAAATTCAGAAATTCAGAAATTCAGAAATTCAGAAACTCAGAAATCCAGAAATTCAGAAATTCAGAAATTCAGAAATTCAGAAATTCAGAAATTCAGAAATTCAGAAATTCAGAAATTCAGAAATTCAGAAATTCAGAAATCCAGAAATTCAGAAATTCGAAAAAAAAATTGGAAATTCCAAAAAATCCCAAAATTAAAAAATTTCGAAAAATCCTAGAAATTCCAAAATTTCAAAAAAAAATTTGAAACTTATGAAGTAACCCTGAAAAAACAAGTTTTTTTAAAGAATTCTGAAAAAAAAACGTTTATTGAATCAAATTTCTGAAAAAAAAATCACAAAAAAATTGGACAAATCGGTTTCAGGATCAGGGAATTATTTGAAAATCTGAAAATTCTCAAATTTCAGATTTCCTAAATCTGAAAATCTGGAAAATTTGACGAAAAGAAAAAGTAAGGAATAATATAGGTAGATTATCATATTACAAAAATCGGATTACTGTAGTAGCTACAGTAATCTAAAAAAAATCACAAAAAAGGAGGAAATTGTGATTTTAGGTAGAGAGGAAAATTTCAAAATGTTAAATGTTCAAAAAAGTTTTTGGCCCTAAAACATCAAAAAATAGACAAGGAACATTTTGCAATTCTGGAATAGTATTACTGTAGAATGGACAATTTCAAAATGTTACAGTGTTCAAAAATTTGGTTGGGTCAAAAAAATGGACAAAGGACATTTTGAAAAATGACAGGTTTGGGACATCGGAACATCGGGACACACAGACACACAGATGGAAGTTCAGACGGTGGTCTCCTGGATTTCTGGGCTATGATTTCGCTTGTTTCTCAAATTTTCCGGTCTGAAAAAATTTTAGAATATCAGAAGCTCAGAATTTGAGAATCTCGGAAAGGCAAGACTTCAGAACTTCGGAATTTCAGAATTTCAGAATTTCCGTGTTTCAGAATTTCCGTATTTCAAAATTTCAAAATTTCTGAATTTCAAAACTTCTGAATTTCAGAGTTTTAGAATTGAAACTTGCGCATTTCGTTGACAGTTTCCACAACATTTCTGGTCTTTTTTGTGAGCAATGGAAGCTGAAAAACAATTTTTGAATTGATTAATTAAAAACCTGATTTTCAGAATACAGTTTGGTGAAAAAACCGAGTTTCTAGCTGTTCGAGCCGAGATACAGCAATTTGAAGTTTTGGCGGCGAGAGAGCGAGAGAGGGCAGACAAGGAAAAACTCTAGCCGTCTTCGTTTCTCACCAAATTTGGAGTGGTGTATCTCAGCTCGCAATATAGCTAAGAATTGTTTTATACTAGAAAGTTTAAAGCACTCAATTTCCTACAAAACGAAAAAAGAATCAAGTTTCTAGCTTTTCTAGGAGCCGAGGTATAGTCTATTGAAGTTTTCGAGAAACGCAGATAGCTAGACACTCTAGCTGTCTACGTCTCTCCAAGGCTTTGTACCTCGGCTCCCAGATGAGCTACAAAGCTGGTTTTTTGGACAGACGAAATCCGAGATACAACACTTGGAAGTTATTGAAGAGACGCAGACAGCTAGATACTCTAACTGTCTGCGCTCTCTCAATCTCTCGCCTTCAGATTTCAAAGATTTGCATCTCAGCTCCCGGGTGAGCTAGAAAAATGATTCCTTTTTAGAAATATAAAGAATGAATTTCTCTATCTTCCTCACCTTTATCATTGATGAATTTTTTCGGTTTCGGAGCTTCTGATCCTTCGGAAGTCGGTCGTTTTTTCGACGACATGTCCTTCATCCCCATCATCATCACCCAGATTGATTGTTTTTGGAACTAACTAGATTTTCTGGAATTCGAGAAAAGAGATTAGACTTTGTGCTTTTGAATGATAAAAAAAAAGGAAAAAAGATTAATAAAAATGTCAAAAGTATGGAGATTAGTGGTCTAAAATCTTGGGTGTGGTGGGCAGAGCATAAACAATTTTAGAGTTTGAAAGTGTAATCTACAGTAATCCAAAGCACCAATTGTTTTCAAATGTTTTTTTTTGAGATAATAGATTCGATTTTGAGAAATGACGAATTTGAACTTTCAGATAGTGTTTATCAAAATTCAAAATTTTTGAAAATTTCAAAAATGACGTTTTAGCTCGAATCGGAGCTGAGAGAGAGCTATTGGAACTAGGCACTAAAGAAAAATGAGACAGCGCAGACAACGAGACATTCTAACTGTCTGCGTCTCTCATAAATTTCAAAGCGCTGTATCGCTTCGGCTCACAAGTGAGCTAAAAATGTACTTCTTTCCTAGAAATTTATAGAATTTAATTTTCCACGAAACGACTGAAAAATCACGTTTCTAGCTTGTCTGAGAGCCGATATGCAGCGGTTTGAAGTTGTGTGAGACGCAGACAGCTAGAGTGCTCTCGCCGTCTGCGTCTCTTCAAAGCGCTGTATCTCGGCTCCTAGAAGAGCTAGAAGACTGATTTTGGGGTCATTTTGAAGGAAATTTGATTTCGAAACTTTCTAAATATGGATTTTTTAATGAAGTTCGGTATTTGTTAACTCAAAAAGTGTCTAAATTCTCACTTCGAAATTCCGAAAAAAATTGCAATAAATTTTTTTCTCGAAATTTCTAGCCTATTTATACAAATTGTACATGTACTTTTTCCAAAAAAGTATGATGTATTAGTACACATTTCATAATGCGTGGGAACTAAACTTTTCGAATCACATGAGTGACAATTTTCGTTGGTTTTCAGTTGAATGCACTTTTTTAATGAGCAGTAGGAAAATTTTGTATGATTATATGTACAAAATGTCATACTTGAAAGATTCTTAAAGTTCTCAGAAACTTTAATGGCCAAAAGTACATAACCACATTACTTCTCAGTAAATGGACCAAGACTTGGGCAAGTTGCACTATGCCTTGCGCAAGGGCATGCCCAAAACGCCCTCTTAACATCATTTCTGAAATTTTTTACCTTGATTTTTGAATTTCCCGCCCTCGAAAACCCAGAAAAACACTTTTCAAAATAATTGCCACCTGTGGGGTTCGAACCTGAGACCCTTAGATCCAACTTTCTGGCCGAAAATCCCACTAGGCTATCCGAGCTTTCTCGAAAATCTCAAAAGAAATTGAATTTTTGAATTGAATGAGTGGTTTTTGAGGATCCTGGAATGGTTTTTGAGTTTAAAAAGTCCCGTTTTTCAATGTTCAAGGATTCGAAAAAGCTCCAAAAAAACCAAAGAAATTGATGAAATTTTGGGAACCGCAAAAATCCAAAAATTTTCTTAAAAATGTACTAATGAGTAATATGGATACATCATCTGACTTCTAGAACTTCTTAGAAAGCGAAATGTAGGGAATTGGATCTTCGGTTGGATGCACTAATGAGCTGAGGGACATATGAGCAATACAGAAATTTGAATCTCAAAAAAAATTTGCAGGGACAAGAGAGGAAATTATGGATAGAGTTCATTTGCGAGACAGAAAATGGATTTAGAGGCTTTTCAAGGGGTTCACAAGATGCAAAAATCCGACTTTCATCAACTTTTTCGAGAATAGTTTGAAACTGCGAAATTAAAAAGGTCGTTATTTTTGCCGGTTTTTTGATTTTCCGGACAAAAATCTTAGTGTTATTACTAAAAAACAGATTTTCCATGAATTTTGCATCATTTCTATCAAACTTTGAGCTTTCTAGCTCACCTAGGAGCCGAGTTACAGCGGTTTGAAGTTTGAAGGTGAGAGACGCAGCGTGTCTCGTTGTCTGCGTCTCTTCGAAATTTAAGAGTGCTGTATCTCGGCTCCCAGGAAAGCTAGAATCTTGGTTTTTTTTTCATCTTGTAGGAAATTAAATTTCGCAAAATTTTGATAAAGAAACGAGTTCATAGCTTATCTGGACGTAGAGACACATCGCTTTGAAGAGACCCAGAGAGACCCAGTTAGAGAGTCTAGGTACAGCGTCTCGAAATGGCTGTATATCGACTCCCGGTACAGCTAGAAACTTGATTTTTGTCGCATTATGTAGGAAATTGAATTTATATACATTTATTTGAATAAATAAACATTGAAGTTCCGGAAAGTTCTAATTCTGAGCCATTGGATCATCCTGTCTTGCACCTCTTCCATGAGGACGGAACAAATCAAAGTTTTCCGCAAGATTACGATATTCCTGTTCTAGTCTTGCATGAGTCATGGTTCTCAAGTCGGTTAACATTCTTCTCAAGTGCTCAACCATTTGATCCATTTCCACAAAGTTCCGATGGCCACGACCAGTGGCCTCGTTGCGCTGAAATTTTTATTTTTAGATTTTTGGATTATAGCAGTTTCGAAAAACTCTTAGGTTCAAAAATTACTTTTCTAGCTTGTCTGGGAGCCGAGATACAGCGGTTTGAAGCTTGGAGAGACGCAGACAGTTAGAGTGTCTGGCTGCCTGCGCTCTCCCTCTTCCCCGCACTCTCTAGTAAAGAAAAGGATGTATCTCGGCTACCGGGTGACCTAGAAAGTTGGTTTTTGGACCATATTGTGTATAAAGTTCTAAAGAATTTTTTAGAAAATTCCAGAAACTCACCTGAGCTCGTCGTTCCATTCGTCGCACGGTTTTTTCCATCAAGTTGATGTAGTTCATTGCTCGAATGATCGTGTGGAAACGTCGTTGAAAATCTGAAAATTAGAATTTCTGGATCTCATACACCTGATGTGTTTTTATACCATTTCAACATGGTGGCCTAACTTTCGCAAGTTGAGTTTTCTAGGCCACCAACCACCAACGTTTTATGCCTAGAAATGGCTTGAAGTGTGTTTTAAGGTCATGAACCATGGTGGCCTAGAACTTGCAAAAGTTAGGCCACCACGCCAAAATGGCTTAGAAAACACACTGGAATCCGGAAACACAGACACACCTACCGTAGTCCTGATTCATCGTGCTCCAAATCGTATAGAATCTTCCCGAAAGTAGAAAATGGAAAAGAGAGAGAGAAATGTAATTTCTTGAGTGTGTAGAACTAAAAGAGCAAATCTTTTTTTTTTTGGTTGACTATGAGAGAAGAAAAAAGGGTGTGTAACCCATGACAACCTCCTCTTTTCTTGTTTTTCTGATTTCTGGAATGTTAATCTCGACATTTTAGAAATATAGAGAGTAGATTGTAGTTGTATAGTCATGTACAAATGTTTGTATTCGAGAGTATCGGGATTCGTGAAAATTGGATTTTTTGTACTTGGAGCAGAAGGCAGAAGAATATTAGAATTTCTGAATTTCTGAATTTCTGAATTTCTGAATTTCTGAATTTCTGAATTTCTGAATTTCTGAATTTCTGAATTTCTGAATTTCTGAATTTTTGAATTTCTGAATTTCTGAATATCTGAATTTCTGAATTTCTGAATTTCTGAATTTCTGAATTTCTGAATTTCTGAATTTCTGAATTTCTGAATTTCTGAATTTCTGAATTTTTGAATTTCTGAATTTCTGAATTTCTGAATTTCTGAATTTCTGAATTTCTGAATTTCTGTATTTCTGAATTTCTGAATTTCTGAATTTCTGAATTTCTGTATTTCTGTATTTCTGAATTTCTGAATTTCTGAATTTCTGAATTTCTGAATTTCTGAATTTCTGAATTTCTGAATTTCTGAATTTTTGAATTTCTGAATTTCTGAATTTCTGAATTTCTGAATTTCTGAATTTCTGAATTTCTGAATTTCTGAATTTCTGAATTTCTGAATTTCTGAATTTCTGAATTTCTGAATTTCTGAATTTCTGAATTTCTGAATTTTTGAATTTCTGAATTTCTGAATATCTGAATTTCTGAATTTCTGAATTTCTGAATTTTTGAATTTCTGAATTTTTGAATTTCAGAATTTTTGAATTTTTGAATTTCTGAATTTCTGAATTTCTGAATTTCTGAATTTCTGAATTTCTGAATTTCTGAATTTCTGAATTTCTGAATTTCTGAATTTCTGAATTTCTGAATTTCTGAATTTCTGAATTTCTGAATTTCTGAATTTCTGAATTTATGAATTTATACCCAAAAAACTCTAAAAAGGTCCAGAAAATGGTGAACAGCTGTTGCCTCTGCATTCTCATTCTCATTTGTCCGGTAAGAGGATTTTTTAGAGAATCGATACAATTCTAGAAGGTTCTAGAAGTTTATAGAAGGATCTAGAGGGTTCTAGAGTCTGTTAGAAGATTCTGGAGGGTTCTAGAAGCTTCTAGTAGAATCTAGACACTTCTAGAACCTTCTATAACCTTCTAGAACTTGCTAGAAGCATTTCCTCTAAAATTGTCCATTTTCAGCCAGTCGCAGTTTTTGTGGAAAAAACGCAACAAGTGCACAGGACAAGTTTGGCTCAACGTTGCTTTTTGTTTGCTGTTCTTCTGTCCTGCGATCATTCATGCTATGGCCATCTGTTTCTGTGTTGACGACTGATCGGATCCAATCTACCGATAATTTGATTACTTGGTTAATACATTTTTATTGATTTATTGATTTTTTGGATAAAGCTATCGATTACTGTTGAAATTGTCTTGAAATGGTGAAAATTAGCTGAATTAGAAGGTTTACAAAATTTTGGAGTTTTTTTCTGAATTTCTGAAAAATCTAGAAAATCTGAAATTCTGAAAATTTGAAAATCGAAAACCTGAGAAACCTGGAAAATCTGAAAATCTGAAATTCTAAAATTCTAAATTTCTGAATTTCTGAATTTCTGAATATCTGAATTCCTTAATTTCATTCAGGATGAACCTCATTATACAAAAATTGAAATATTGAAACCAAAACTTTGAATGTGATGAAACTGAGAATATTATAGAAGCACATAACATTTCTAGATGAAAAAAAAAAGAAAAAAAAAGTTGCACATCTCCAAAAAATCACTTCAAAAATTAATGAAATGACAAAAGTAGTATTTTTCTGACAATTTCTTTTTATTTTTATGTTTGGCAAAAACTAAATAATCTCAATTTTTCATTTTTCGGCCCATTTCTAGAGGTGACCTATAACTGGCCTTGAGTCAATGTAACTATTTATTATTGTTCCCAAAGAGAACGGATGCTAATAAGCAGAAAAAAAAGTTAATTGTCAAATGAAGGTCTAGCTTTGTCAAAGATTTAGATATCTATTTTTAACATAAAGTTAAAGGTGGGGAGACATGAGAAGAATAATGTTCTCGAAATTCCGTTCAAAGATGCCCCTCGAGGAATTGAACTTGTGAGGGCGATGATTGAGGGTGCGGCGCCGCTACCGACTGAGCCACGCGGGCAAAGAGAAAGCGCACGCCCGATTGCATACATAAAGGCGAGGACGACAGCTGTACGCAGAGTGACATTAAGCGTTGTACACCGTGACGGTAGAATGCATACTCTAGCTACAAAAAAACTGCGAAAAATCTCCTGTAAGTAATCGCTTTTGTCACCTTTAAGTAATCGCTTTTGTCACCTTTAAGTAATCGCTTTTGTCAACTCTGCCATATTTGTGTCATTACTGTTAAAAAACAATATTTCAACATAGATTACAAGGGTAAATATTTACTTCGAGTAAATCCTTTTGTGAATACGGTAAATCCATTTTCTGGTAAATCGATTTACAGCTGTAAATATTTACAAAAAAAATTATCACTGAAAAATCAAGAAGAAGAAGAAGAAGAAGAAAATATCAGTGACGTGAAAGAAAAATCACTGTAAATCTGAAGGAAAATGCTTTCTTTTACCAAACTTTCATGAATACCAATCACTCTATTTTCCTCTTTATAAATCATTTACACGTTCTATTTACCTAAAAGTAAATGTTCATGAATACGGCCTCAGAAATTCAGAATTCCAGACTTTCAGCATCTTTAGACGGAAATTCAGGGGTTTCCAGAAATCCTTCTCAGAATTTTCTAGAAACTACAGTAATCGCTGACTACAGTAATCGACGTCGTCATCACCCATCATCTACCCCAAAAACAGAGTAATTATCTCTCGGAACCCACCAATTATTTTTATGCTCTTTTTCTTCGAGAAAATTCTAGAATCACATGAAAAATGACGAATTCCAAATTCCAGATGATGTGGGTTGGCATTTTTTGATTCTGAGGACAATTCAGAAGACGTGGGTGGATTCTGATGGGATTTTTGGAAATTTTCGAAGTTTCGAAAATCTGAGAAATCTGGGAAATCTGAAATTCTGAAATTCTGAAACTCAGGCACTCCAAAATTCTGAGTTTATCAGATTCTGACCTTCTGAAATTCAGAATTCAGAAAAAAAATTCTGAAAATTTCGAAAATCTGAAAAATCGGAAAAATTCAAAAATCTGAAAGTCCTTGAAATCTGAAAAACTCAGACAATCCAGATAAATCTGAAAATACGAAAATTCTTGACATCTAAAAAATCTGAAAATCTAAAAAAATATGAAAATTCTGGAAGCTTCCAATATCTGAAAGTCTTGAAAATCTGGAAATCTAAAATTCTGATATTCTGAAATCCTGCGATTCTGAATTTCTGAAACTCTGAAATTAGGAATTTCTAGAAATTCTGAAATTCTGAAATTTTTGAAAATCTGAAAAATTTGGAAAATCTGAAATTCGGAAAACCAAAAAGCTGAAAAATCCAAAAGTCTGAAATTCTGAACTTCTGAAATTTTGAAAATCGGAAAATCTGGAATTCTGAAATCTCTAAATTAATTATTTTTATGCAATTTTTCTTGAGAAAACTTTAGAAATCACATGAAAAATGACGAATTCCAAATTCCTGATGATGTAGTTCACATTTTCTGATTTTGAGGACAATTCAGAAGACGTGGGTGGATTCTGATGACATTTTTGAAAAATTCAGAATCTCAAGTCTTCTAGAATTTTCCCAGAGCTCAACACACAATTTTTTGTTTTTCTCGATTTATAATTTGTACTTTGTCACCTCGTGAGACACTCAAGAAATCGTTGTCAACATTATACTTTGTGGGCGGGGCTTACCCTAGTTTCTCTAAGTCTCCAAAGCTCCGCCCCCTCGTTTAAAAGGGATCTCGCACTCCGAGAAACCTCATTTTTCGAGTGGAATTTTTAAGAATCCCTCTCCAACCCTTTCTCCCAAAAATCCTCTTCATGATGCTTCAAAATAAGATCCTAATTCTCTTCTCTCTTCTAATTTTCTCCACAAACGCATCAATGTTTGCTCTTCGAAAACGCGCCAACGTCGCGCCAGCCAACTTGGAGCAAGAAGAACAACGTCATCGGGCTGAAACGATTGAAAAAGGCCAAAAAGAGTATCGGAATTTGATGGAAGCGATCGCTCATCTTAAAAATCCAAATCTTCTGGACTTCCTGAAATTCGATGGACCATCTGAGCAGGAGGAGCAAATTCCGAGGTTGTGTGGAATGAAATTGGTGGAAAAAGTGGCTAGTTTGTGTCAAAATGGATGTCAATTGGGATACGGTAGGTTGAGGGAGAAAAGGGGCGGGGCTTAAGGTACAGCAATCCATCTAGGTTGCTAGGATAGATCTACTATAAACCATAGAGTTAGGGACCTACCATAAAGGTAAGGTAACCTAAACCATGGCTACAGTAAGCTCAAAATCCATAAAAGAAAAGTAATCCTAATGGAGGTTCGAAAATTTCTTGAGGGGTCTACCGTAGTCGTGGGAAAGTACAGTAATCCTAAAGACAGTAATCAATTGCCTGCTAAGATCACTTACACCTTCCTGTATAATCCTAGAAACATCCAGAGTAGTCTAATTACAGTAACCCATAGAGGAGAAGAACCTACAGTAATCCTAGAAAAGTACAGTAACCAGAAAACATGGTTACAGTAACCTTAAACCCGTCTACAATTCTTCTAGGGGGATCTACAGTAATCCTAAATGAGCCTAGAACATTTCAGAGACGCTAGATACAGTATTCTATTCCAGAATTTGCCCAATTTTTTGGGAGGTTTTCAAATTGAGATTCTACAGTAATGCTCAAGGAGTTTATAGTAATCTCTGTCAAATATTCAAGCCTTTTTTGGTGCTACAGTAACCTATCTAATCTACAGTAACCCCTGGTAACTCGTTTTCTATCCGGTTTTGATCAATTTTGATAAATTCATTTCGAATTTTGAAGGATTTTGAAATCTACAGTAACCCTCTTCTACAGTAACCCCCCAAAATTTCAGACATCTCATCGTCTGTCTGTTTCCACGGATTCTCCGATGCTGAGCTGATCCAGGAGTGCTGTCCATCGACCTACCGCAATCCGGCGATCCCGAAGAATTTTGTATTCTGAGCATTCTACAGTAATCCAAGAGAATAGCATCATGAACTGTTAAATTATAAATCCACAAAAAACTTTTTTTTAATCACATGAAACACCCAAACATCCAAAAATCCAACTTTTTTTTTCACTCGGACCTTGTTAAGAATGTGCGCCCATTTATTCATTTTTATCCCAAATTCCGCCCCCCCCTCCAAAAAGCCCCAAAGAAAAGTTTTTAAAAATCTAAAAAAAACCAAATTTTATCATGTTCAACTTCTGATTCAAACATCTTCTTCTTCTTCTTCAAAACAATTCCAAAACAATTTCCAAAAAAAAAAAAATTTTAAATCCGAAAAATTTTCGAAAAATCCAAAAAAAAATGATGCTGACCACCGACTGACGACCCACCCCCACACACCCCTTGTTAATAAAAAATTTGTTAAAATTTTTGGTTTTTTAGATTTTCAGGTTTTTGAGGATTTCAGAATTTCAAAATTTCAGAATTGCAGAATTTCAGAATCTCAGAATTTCAGATTTCCAGATTTTCAAGACTTTCAGATATTGGAAGCTTCGAGAATTTAGATTTTTTTTAGATTTTCAGATTTTTTAGATTTCAGGAATTTTCGAAACTTTCAGAATTTCAGAATTGCAGAATTTTAAATTTTTCAGATTTTCGGTGTTCTGAATTTCAGATTTTTCAAATTTTTCAGATTTTCGAAAATTTCAGAATTCCAGAATTTCAGAATTTCAAAGTTTCAAAGTTTCAGAATTTCAGAATTTCAAAATTTCAGATTTCCAGATTTTCAAGACTTTCAGGTATTGGAAGCTTCCAGAATTTTCACATTTTGTTAGATTTTCAGATTTTTTAGATTTCAAGAATATTTGTATTTTTAGAATTATCTGGATTTTCTGGGTTGTTCAGATTTCAAGGACTTTCAGATTTTTGAATTTTTGAGATTTTTCAGACTTTCGAAAATTTCAGAATTTCAGAATTTCCAAAATTGTAGAATTTTCCGATTTTCAGGTTCTAAGAATTTCAGAATTTCAGATTTTCGAGACTTTCAGATATTGGAAGCTTCCAGAATTTTCACATTTTGTTAGATTTTCAGATTTTTTAGATTTCAAGAATTTTTGTATTTTTAGAATTATCTGGATTTTCTGGGTTTTTCAGTTTTCAAGTATTTTCAGATTTCAGAAGGTCAGAATCTGAAAAATTCAGAATTTTGGAGTGTCTGAGTTTCAGAGTTTCAGAATTTCAGGTTTCCCAGATTATTCAGATTTTCGAGATTTCAAAAATGTTCCGAAAAATGTCATCAGATTCCACCCACGTCTTCTGAATTGTCCTCAGAATCCGAAAATGTGAACCCACATCATCTGGAATTCGGAATTCGTCATTTTTCATGTGATTCTAGAATTTTCTCGAAGAAAAAGCGCATAAAACTAATTGGTGGGTTCCGAGAGTTAATTGCTCTGTTTTTTGGGGTAGATGATGGATGATGACGATGTGGATTACTATAGTCAGCGATTACTGTAGTTTCTAGAAAATTCTGAAAAGGAAGTTTTGGGTCGGGATTTTGCCGATTTTCGATTTCTCGAAATCCCTGAATTTTCGTCTAAAGACTCTGAAAGTCTGGAATTCTGAATTTCTAGATTCAGTCATTTAAAATTCTAACAGATAGAGCTCAGTCGGGACTATAAGTAGGTGAGGGAGAACAGTCCCACTGAAGCTGCTCAGGTCTGACTTGACTGCAGGTAAAAAATGAAAAACCTCATGTTCACGGAAAGTCACACCTTACCTGATCCGCTTTGGCTGGACGGTTCTTCTTTACCCCCGTTAAAGACTTGATTCAGCTCTATCAGATCATTGGTTATTCAAAAGTATACGACGTCATCTGGAGCTTAAGGACTTTAACACAATTGATGCCTGAAAAAATGGACTGGAGGGATACTTTGACTTGGCACTAGCTGGCTTTTGGAGGGATGGTACCCACGAGTTACCTGAACATTGTCAACATGTTGTGGATCACGACGGTGCATACTGCTAATTCTGGATCATTCTTGTGTTTGTGTTATTTACTGATTAAAAAATGGACAGTTACTTTCCTGCCAACCTAATAGCAGATAAAGCTCCCAAGAGATTCTCCAACAGGTTGACCAAATCTTTTATGGCTTCAACATTCTCATTTCCATTTTCCTCTACTGTAAATTCTATTGCTCTAGTCAATAAATCCCAAATAACCTACAAATTTTAATCAACACTGCGATGCCAGCCCTAATCTGTCCAAGCAATCGACCACATAGTGCCGACCTAAAAAATGAATACTTCTTGACACTATCTGGTATTTCCTTTTTCTTACTAGAAGAGCAAACAGTCGAATCAACAGTTGAAGATCAACAGTCCAGAGTGGTCCAGTCCAGAGCAGAGATGAGCGGAAGAGATTTACGGAAATTTACGGAAGACGGTTTATCTTCGAAATGAAAAATGCTACCAAAAAGCTGTCAACAGACAAAATGTAGATCTCAATGAGAGCTATCGATTGGTATTAAAATTGTTTTGAAATTTTGTTGGATTATTCAAATAGAGTCTTTCTTCCGTCTTCCGTCTTCCGTGTGCCAGACGGAAGACGGAACACGGAAGAAACGCCATATCTCAACTCTCCATCACTATTATGAGATAACTTTTATACCAATAAATAACTTTCATTGAGATCTACATTTTGTCCGTTCACAACTTTTTGGTAGCATTTTTCATTTTGAAAATAAACCGTCTTCCGTAAATTTCCGTAAATCTCTTCCGCTCATCTCTGGTCCAGAGTCCAGAGTCCAGAGCCGGAGGGTTTTTCGGTCCCGAGACAACTGGATTCAGAATATTGCCTAAAAGCTGAAAATTGAGAATTTCAGAGACATTTTTCCATAAGAGACCTACTTGAGCAGAGTTTTTTATTTTTTTTTCTGAAGTTTTCAGAAATCGACCATCCGGCCCGTGACTCCTCGGCCCGGCCCGGCGGGCCCGGGTTCTCCAAATTTGAAAAAATTTTTTGAAATTTTTTGAAATTTTTTTGCGAAAGAACTATTTTTTATGGACACTCTTTTCTTGAAAAATGTTTTTCTTGTCAGAAACATTGTCCATTTTTTCCTGTTGACCCCTAAAAAATTTTTGAAAGACAGAAAAACATTTTTTCGAAAATCCGGGCCCTGAAAAGTCTGAAAAAAAAACCACAACCCGTTGCAAGTATGATTAATTCATTTGGACAATTTTTTATTTCCCGGGAATTTTCCAGGAAACTTGGTCCCCCTTCCCCTCATTTTTCTCATTTTTTTCCATTTTTATTCAATTTTCTCTTCCCTTTACTATTTTATTTCTAATTCAATTTATCATTCACTTCTTAGTTTTTTTCTTGAATCGCACATTTCTGAGCAGCACACATAGAGCACAAAAACCACGGCGACGAGAGAGTACAGAAAATGGAGAGAGTGTCAGAGAAAAGTAGTTTGTGCAAAAAAGAGAGACGTCGACTTCCTTTAGAATCTCATTAGTTCGTGTGGCACTCTGAAAATTGAATGAAAAAAAATGTTTATATTTAGAACTGAGCAATACAAAGATCAATAGAGAGTGGGGGAAAATGAGAGACTCAGAGAAAAGATATGCAATTTTGCAAGGAAGGGAAAAGGAGACGAGCAAAGTTCAGGCTAGGAATAGGAGATGTCAAAGAACAAAGCTAATGAGATACAGTAATCCAATAGATGAGCAATCGGAAAATTGAACTTTTGGGGCATTCTCGCCTGATTGGAATTTTCGAAACCAGTTTTAAACTCTCCTGGGAAGAAATTGAATTAAGAAATTTTTATGGATTTTTTTTAAAAATTTCTAATTTTTTGAAATTGAAATCAATTAAAATTTTAGATGATCAGAAAATAGAATCTTCTAGAATTTTTCAAGTTTTTGTTAAAAGTTTCTAGCTCTTCTACGAGATACAGCGCTTTGAAGTTTGGAGAGACGCACACAGCTAGAGTGTCTTGTTGTCTGCGTCTAACCAAACTTTAAACCGCTGAATCTCAGCTCCTAGCAGAGCGAGAAAGTTGGTTTTTGTCTCATTTTTAAGGAATTATGATTTTCTATATTTTTGTTCAGAATCAGGCATTTAACACTACTTGGAGCTGAGATACGCCGATTTGAAGTTTCTGTAGTCATTTAAAATGTCTGTGTCTCTTCAAACCGCTATATATCAGTTCATAGAAAAACTAGAAACTTGATTTTTGTTTCATATTGTAGGAAATTTTATTTTTTATATTTTTAAAACTTAAATAATCTATCTAGCTTTTCAAGGAACCGAGATATAGCGCTTCGCAGGTTGGACAGACGCAGACAACGAGAGGCACTGACTGTCTGCGTCTCTCAAAACTTTAAAGCGGTGTACCCGAAAGATCTAAAAAGTTGATTTTTGTTTCATTTTGTAGGAAATTTTTCTCATATTTTTAAGTGCAGATTTACCTTTCTATATATAGCTCAGCCAAGAGCCAAGTTACAGTCATTTCCATTTTTGCGTTGCTTCAAGTTGCTATATCTCGGCTTGGAGAAGAGCTAGAAAGATGGTATTTTCTGTTCCAAATCGATCAATCAATCTCAAATTTCACAAACATTTTCGAAGCCAAAACCCAAACTTCTCTGTGTTCTATCTAAAATTTCTCGACCCGCGGTGACCTCCTGCCCACACACAAAGATTTACACTATTCTAGAAGAAATAGCGTGGAAAAATGAGAGAGTGGCGGAGAAAGAGCCCCCGGGGGCGCTGAATATTACAATGTTCCTAACAACTTTCGGAAAAAAATCACTATTTCTCAATGGATTACTGTAGGAGGTCAGAGAATGGCTCCGCGTCACTTCGAAACCGCGACATTTCGAAACCGGTCGTTTTGAAACTACGTGAAACTACGTGAAACTTCGAAACCAGTTATTCCAAAACCAGTCGTTTCGAAACCGGTCTTTTCGAAACCGCTAAATTTGCAATCTGTAAATGTTTTTTTTTCAT